CCTGGCGGCCCGAGAGCGGCCTCCCATTGAAGCACCTGAATCGCAGGCCTGGGGCCCGGGACAGTGGCGTCAGATCCCCTCGCAGCCGCAGCGCTGGGGCCCGGTGTAGACGCTCCATCCCCCTGTCTGTGTGCCCGCCTGCGTCCCCAGATTCCGAGGCAGGTATTCGGGAATCCAGTTTTCGGTGACCTGGAGGGTGGTGGTGTGGGGGATGGAGGACTGCCCGGTGCGAGCGACCCGCCCCGCACGCCCGACGCGACCGCGACCTCTGCGCTGGGGCGCCGCTCGCTGCCGGTTCCGTCTCCATCCCTCGCTGCCGCCCGCCTCCGCCCTGGGTCGCTCGGCGCCCACGTCCTCGGGAGCTCTGGCAGCTGCTTCCACTGAAGGCTTACTGGGGGGTCAGAGGGTCTGGAATTGGCCCTCCGTTACTCACCGTAGGCAGCAGGCTGGGGCTCTGGTTTGTTCCTGGACTTCAAAGTCTAAGTGAGGTTTGGCCTATTTTTACTTCTTGCCCTCGTTGGAGCCATTCGATTCCAAGTTCTCCGAGGACAGATCGTGTCTCGTTCACTCCCGTGGACAGGCACCTGGAAGAAATCTGACTTAAAAACAGGCTTCAAAATACGCGTGGAACGAAGTGGTCTTCAAACTCAACTGCTTACCTTGTTTTCTTCATCTGCTCTCTCACCTCAGCTTTTCCCCCCACTAGCTTTCTAGCGTTCTTCTCCTCATTAAGTGTAAAGAAACGTATGTGTGATTTTCTTGTTTGTGTGTGAGCCTTTCGTGTGCACCCACCCAAGGGGTGGTAGCAGCGGAACACTGACGAAATGTTTCGTGATAATTAGAGCTTTATCTTTGCCAATCGCTTGCCTTTCATTTGTCTGGTTATTTGATTTTCAGTTGTCTAATGATAAAGATGTCTAGCTGAAATAAAATAGTGTGGTATAGTGTGACTGAATAATACAGTGCAACAGTTCACTGTCTCACCCTTCCTGTCCTAGGAACAGTTTGTGTGCCAGTCCTTTAGTAACTTTCCATGTTGTATACTTTATATTTATTGACCCCTCCAGCGAGGTACATTGTTTCTCAACCTCATATCTCCTATTATTTGATTTCCCCCTCTGTTTTTGTTAGATATATCCTAAAGAAACTCACTCCCAAAGGTGTGTGGATGGCACTTTTAGTTTTCAATGTTTGCACTGCTATGAATCATCATTCACTATAATGATCGACAACTTGGTTGTATATAGCATCATAATTATGTCCTTTCAAATCTTTCAGGACTTCAGTGTCCTCTGGCTTCCATCATTGCTAATAAGAAGTTGAGAATGCCAATCTGATGTTAATTTGCTGATCGTCAAACTATTTTTATCTCCCTGAAATGATTCAAAGGATCTAATTATGCTTGACACTTTGAAAATGTGTGGCAACATGTCCAGGTAGAGTTTATTCGTCTTGTAATGAGCCCATTGAAGGAGCTAAGTGAATGTCTCAGTGTGAGTCTTTCACCTATGCTATTAAACATTCCTATAGTTTGCTTATTTTCTATCCTACATGCTTTTTCATATTTAGTGTTACCACAATTTATTTAACCATTCACCTATCATTGGACATTGACGTTGTCTCCAGCTTGGGGATACTGGAAACAATGCTGCCCTGATCTTTCTTGTCCGGACCTCTCATGTGCATGTCTTTCTCTGTGTGTGTGTGTGTGTGTGTGTGTGTGTGTGTTTGTGTGTGTAGGAGTTTCTGCAGGAATATAACATCAAGGTAGTTTCTTACTATATTAATAGTGTCAAACGGTTTTCTGGAATGACTGTGCCAAGTTATACTCCAACTGAGAGTAAATACAGTCTATTTTTCTATATCCTCCTAACATGTGTATTCTGTGTTTTAAGTTTTATTATTTGGCAGTGATAAATTCTCACATGATTTTAGTGAGAAATTCCTTGATTATTTTCTTGTAAATTTATTTATTTATTTCCTTCTTGAGAGACAGAGACAGGAACCCTCAACAAAGTCTCCATGCCAAGATCCTTCCCCGAGCACCGCAGGTCAGCTGTACTCACAGCCCACCTGTCCCGCGTGTGTAGGTTCACCTAGGGTGAGCACCTGGAGCCTTCCCGTGTGGCTTCCAGCACTGTGCAGCAGCACCCCTAATGCCATTTCTTGATTATTGATGAAGAAGCTGTTGATCATCTTACGTATCTGTTGGCCATTTCTCTACTCTTCGGTGAAATGTATTTTTCCATAACCTCCTGTTTTATATTAGAGTTTTTGTTTTATTTTTTTCGCAAATTATTTCTATTACCTTCAAAGCCAGGTTTTGGGGGGCTTATTTCATTCCTTGCCCTTTATACTATAATCTTTCCTCAACTATCTAATGATTCTTAGACAGTTCACTGTTTAAGAGTTGGGAGCTTTGTATATATGGATATGTGTTGGCACACTTCATTTTAGGATGCCTGAGTGGACTGGGGTTCTACAGATTGCAGAATTAGGAGGAGTTTGCTTTTGCCACCAGTGCCCATACCAGCTACTACAATTCTTGGAGGATTTGCTCATTTCCTTTAGAAAAGAACATTACCTTCTTTTGCTTGAAGAGTGTAACTGCCCATGTTCCGGGGCTAGTGGCAGAATGGACTCTTCAGTTCTTCAGCATTTCAAATCACTCTTCTTGTTTCAAATGCTCTTCTGACTGCTATTCACCATTGTCCCTGCCATCTCTGTCTGAACCCTCTGAATCGTAAGAGGCCAGGGACATTTCCTCATTATTTTAGACCGCAGCGTCCCTGTTTTGTTTCCTGCTGTCGTCCTTTTCCATATACATTTGCTTTGTAGGAAGTTATGGAAATCTTTCATCAGCTCAGGGCTCCCTTCTCTTTCTTGTTCAAGTTTATACATTTTGAAACATTTTTGGTTTCTAAACAGAAAAGTGGTCCAGCGTATTTATTGTCAACGCTGAGGACGTCAGAATTCAGAGCTGAGGCAGTGGCATGTCTCCATAGAGACACCTGGGTCAGGTAGTCTGTGTCTCGAGGCCTTTCTGTCGTGGCTGCCTTAGCGTGATTCAGACTGATCTGGAATAAGTGTCTTCATCTCCAGGTGGTTCCAGCACATAACGCTAAGGCCTCTGTTTATTTGGAGTCAACCCAAAAAGGACCCTCTGGCTGTGCTCAGGGGACAGCTGTCTCTAAACTGGCGGCAATAACGTCGGTCAGAATTGTTGAGATTAAAGCAGATCATGTAGGTAAAACACCTACCACAGAAATGAAAATCGATCAGTAATTTAATATTGTAGTGTTTTGCCACTGTTTATAGGGACCCTGATTATTTAGTTTGTGGTTGGTGTCTATATTTTCCCTCTTGATGTCCTTCACTGTGTAAGAAGGAAAGATTCTTGATAGTACGTGGGGTTTTCAAACTTTAAGTAAAGAGCAGAGCCTTTCGTGAGCATGAAATAATGTGCTTACTCCACCTTTAAAACTGTCAGGCATCATCGAAAATGGGATTTTGTCCTTTTTTCTTATGTAACTGGAAATCTTTTCATTTAATTAGAGATGCAATATAAATTTATGTGTGGGCGTATTTTACTCTGATGGTATCTTGGAATTTTTTAACTTTAGTATTTTTAACTGTGAAGTGGTTAGATTGATGCTTTCCTTCAAGCTGGATACTATTGGGTCATAGGAAAAGCCATGACATATTTTTCTGTTTTTCTATGCAAAACTGCATCGTGAATTTCCAGATGACCTAATATTAATCAAATGCTAAGGCCTCTGTTTAAGGAAATACCATCTTAGTGTGTGTTGCTCTATATATCATAACGTCTCTCTTTTCCCAGGTTATCTCAGAAAATCTAGGACTCCAGAAATGTTTCCCTTGAAGGATGCCGAAATGGGGGCCTTTACCTTCTTCGCCTCGGCTCTGCCGCATGACGTCTGTGGAAGCAACGGGCTTCCCCTCACACCAAACTCCATCAAAATTTTAGGGCGCTTTCAAATCCTTAAGACCATCACCCACCCCAGACTGTGCCAGTATGTGGATATTTCTAGAGGGAAGCATGGTAAGTGGTCTTTTACATTTTTCCCCTCTTTCGTGTTTTCTATCTCGTTGCCCTGACTGGGGTATAAACATACCATAAACATGGAAAGAAATCAGTACATGTGCTCACCTGCTCCCTCCTCCTCCCCACACCCATGCACTTACCCATGGACTCGCAGCTCTGTCAGGTAAAACTCAAACTCTTCACCCGGCGATTCATGTAAGACCCTTCTGTCCTTTGTAGTTATATTTCTTGTCATTTCTACCACTTCAGCCTCTGCTCCAGCCAAGCCGAGCTCCTTCGTTCTCTCGGTGGTACCACGGCCCCCCACACGTGCGCTTGTTTGTACGTCACTTCCTCTCCTGGGTGGGCGGCACCCGGTGCCCTGCAGTCTGAGCCAAGGCCCCTTCTTAAAGTCCTTCATAGCTTTTATCATTTTCTAAGTTCCGTAGAAAAGGCTATAAAGTTAGGTCTTGGGAAGAGGAACAGGAAATGTATGGTAAATAAAAGTTACGTAGGTCCGTTATTAAATAAGAATCCTCCTCCTGCACAGAGGAGGGGAACACTTTCACACACGGAAATCTCAGTCACCTTTACACAGGGAACGTTATGTCCTGCTTTGGGGCAGAAAAGGAGAATGACGGGGGGCTCATTATCTTCAGCTCCAAACAGTTTTTACCCCAAAGTGATATATTTTGGGATAGCATACACTGATCCTCGTCAGGAAGAAAGGAAGCAAAGTTAGAATAAGATGGAAGATCAGTAATAAAAATGTGTAGTTTTTTTAGGATGGACTTTGTATTTGTAAGCTTCTTGCATAGGTCAGGGCACAGAAAGAAATCCAACTGATGCAAATTACTTTTATAATGAGGCAACTTATTAAGAAATTAATTAGTAGATATTTACCTAAATACAGAAACATGATCTTTTACAAACTTTGTACGGTTTCTTTACTTATTGTCCTTTCTCTTTTTAAAGTATTTTCCTTGGGACCTGCAGGTGGCGTAGTGGTTAAGGCACTGGACTCCCACATGCTGACTGCCATTTGAGTCCTGGAATCGGTGGCTTGAAACGCACGCCGGACATATGTGCTTGCATGCCCAAAATCCCAAGAGGAGACTGAAGGAGAAGGAATTACGGCGTGGCCATTCCCTCTGGGGGATGATTTCTCACTTTCTGTCTTTCTGTCTCTCTGGTGACCACATGCACCCTATAGCAAAAAACTCAAAAAACAGTATTTTCCTTAACTTTTGAAAATAAACCAGTTCTCAAATTCTACTAAAATGCCCACTATTCTTAAGATTAAATACTTTACCCTGCTGGGTTAGCAAAAATACCTTGAATCTCTTTTTTTTTTAAGTTTCTTTTCTTTTTTTTTTTTGGAGAGATTTTCACTATAGGGCGCGTGCGCTTGCCAGACAGACAGAGAGAGACATAGAGACAGAAAGTGAGAAATCACCCCCCGGGGGGGATGGTCAAGCCGCAATCCCTTCTCCTCCATTCTCCTCTCAGGATCTTGGGCACGCATGCACACGCGTCTGGCGTGAGTTTTAAGCCACCAGGTCCAGGACGCGAACCGCGGTCCACTACGTGGGAGTCCAGCGACATAGCCATTACACTAACTACTGGTTCCCGATCTCTTTTGAGTGATCTATAGAAAACAGGGAAAGCCTGACTTCTGGGCTAAGGTAACGTGAGAACACAGTGATAAGCTATCTGCATAGCAGAAACAGTAAAGAGGGAGAAGTAGAGCCAAAACCAGAGTTCTCTGAGGGGACAAGTAGAATCCAACCCAGAATCAGGAGGTGTTCCATCAGTGAGAGGTATGTGTTATTCACTAAAGAATAAAACGTTGAATAGAAACTTCTCAAATTCTTCAAATTATATTAATCTGAAATGACTGAGATTGTTTGGAACGAACATAGCTTTACATAAACACGTACTTTAATTCAGTTATTTGTTCCTTATGCACAAACCTTTAGAACGTTGAACATTGCCAGTGTAACCTTCACCTCCGTGCCACCTGCTGGCCCAGGACTTGAATTTCATACATATCCATGACATACGCTGCTCTAGCAGAGGGGGCTCAGCAGCCCGAGGAGCGAGAGGGGTGAGGAGAGTAAACAGCAGCGTAGTGGTCAGAACTGAGGGCGACAACTAGACTGTGGAGCTGGCTTCCAAGAACAATCATGGTAGCAAACGATTGTGTCTGTGGGGATCAATTCCTACCTAAAATTATAAACGAAAAGGAGGTTCATATGCAAGGGTGGCGAGAGTGCTCCCCAGAGGCACCTGTGTTTACAGGAGTCTAGGTGGAAGAAGGAAAAGGAGTTAAAGAAGTATCTAAGGGGCCCAGGTGGTGCAGGGGCAGCACAGCCGTCCACAAGTGGGGACGTCCTGACATCATCTTCCGGGACCTGCCTCTGCACCACAGACACATGTGCACTGCCTGCGGCCCGAGCTCAGAGAGTGGAGGACGAGCACAGCAGAAGGGCGCTTCTCGGAGCGCCTCTGTCTCTTTGTTCTCATGGAGAAAACGTGTAATTAATGTAAAAGAAATATATCTAGAACTGACTCACTTATCCAAAGAGAAGGGGGCCTAGCAATTTTTTGAAGAGCCCGCATATCCTGGGAATAAACATAGTACACTGTAGGAAACAATAGGCACTAAGCGAAGCAGGAAGAGTTGGTAAAGAGAGACCTACTCTAAACCCGCCAGCATAAACCAGTGAGACTCGTCCTGGTCACCAGCCCTGGGCGATAATGAAGCTCTTCTCCACTGCCGAGCTTTGTCTGGGGTGGCTGGGAACCGGGCCGACCCTGTGGTGGGAAATTCTTTAGAATCTGCACTGGATGGTGCCATGGGGCAGCCCTGAAGGGTGCAGGGACTGACAATATCTGCTTAGGGGTATGAAGCGTTCCAATGATCCCCTTGATGCTTAAATATCCGGTTAAGGTCACTGAAGCCTTTTCACACACTTTTCAGTGAAAAGCTATTTTTTTAAAAAAAATGACAGCAAAAATCTTGCCAGAAGTTCTTCTCTAGACTTGGCAAATGGCTGGGACTCAGGACTCTACCCCGTGGGCATAGTAATTGTGGCCGCTGTTCTCAGTGGTTATCTTTTAAGCCAATTAGAAAAAGCACCCTTCTACCAAAAACAACTCAGAGGCAGGTTCTGCTCCCATTCTCTCCGGTGGCCAGAACTTGTGCGGCGTGTAAGCCGCTTGACTGTGAGTCTCCTGATCAGTGGACATGTGGTTCGACACCAGGCACAGGTCAAAGCGACCGGGAAATCTAGGACCTATCTATCTTAGAACCAGTCAAGTCTACCGTTAAGGAAAGAAGACAGTCACCCTATACTTCCTGATACTTATACCAACGCTTCTTTTCTTTTAAGGATTTTAAAAATTCTTTGCTTGGCTTCACTCTCCCTCTCCAGACAAGTACCCTTGGTGGGGTCTTGCCACATGTGATTCCCCCTCACCTCCAGCCAGCCAGGATCACAGGTACAGCCAGGGTGTTCGGTATTCAACCTGGGCTAAACCTGTATCCAAACCTGGGCGCCCAAAACGTCCTAGTATCACCCAGTAGCACCCTGTCACCTGCACCTTTGTAGGTGGGCTGCAGCGCTGCTTTTAAACACATTTTTTATGTTAGGAATGTTTTTGAGAATCTGATAAAAACTGCAAACTCATTGTCTAGAAAGAGTAGGCACAACACTATTTTAAGTTTGCAGACCTTCTAAAGTGCTTTCACAGGCCATTGTAGCTCCAGTTAAGAGCAGCTATTTCATTTCATTTTATTATTATTATTACTATTATTATTACTATTTTAGAGAGATTTTTTGCTACAGGGTATATGCATTCACCAGAGAGAGAAAGCAAGAAATCAGCCCTCCGAGAGGATGGCCACGCCACAATCCCTTCTCCATTCTCCTCTTGGGATTTTAGATGTGCATGCACACGCACATACACCCAGCATGATTTTCAAGCTTCTGGTCAAACCATGGTAGGCCATGTGGGAGTCCAGCACCTTAAACACTGTGCCTTCTGCTGGTCCCAGAGCAGCTATTTAAATAGTTGAATTTAGTTTCATCAGATGTGGTAAGAAGCAACAGAGACTTTCTAGCCCAGAGAGCAACTCGGAAAGGCTCAACAAAGCAAACATAACTAGATGTGCTGAGTTAATAACCCACGTAGGAGATCTTAGACTCACACCAAAGAAGTTCCTACGCTGATGTTTGCATACGTCACATAGACAACGGCATTTACATCGAGCATACAAATGCTTCATTAACAAACTCAGTCTTTCCGCTGGAAATATCAGCAGTGGTTAGAAGCAAGCGAAGACTCTACATGGTAGTGCACCCTTTTTGTTTGTTACTTATTATCCAGAAATCTTTCAATGATTGTGTGAAACCAGAACACATTTTTTTGAGAGATTTTCGCTATAGGATGTGTGCATTCACTGGAGAGATAGAGAGAGACAGAGACAGAAAGCGATCCCTTCTCCACCATTCTCTTCTCTGGATTTTGGGCACACATGCACACGTGCCTGGAGTGAGTTTCAAGCCACCGGATCTGGAACTCAAACTGCATTCGACTACGTGGAAGTCCAGCAAGGTAACCATTAAGCCATCTGCTGATTCCAAGAACAAAATTTTTTTAAATAATAGATTTGAAATTCAGGTAGAAAATAATAGACTGGTTAAGGATCTGTCAGGCCATTGATTCTGTCTGTCCAGCGCATCGACTTCGACCTAAGTGGCTATATAAGTGGGTCTCATCAGAAAATCAGACCAGCCAGATCTACACTGAGGGAGTGCTCACGGGCAACTGGGCTGTGTGACAGTGGGAGCTGGCTACGCAAGTTCGAAATCCATAGGACATAGCAGGCCTGGGTAGGACTGCCCACCCACCCCCTCCCCTTGATGCTTAAATATCCGGTTAAGGTCACTGAAGCCTTTTCACACACTTTTCAGTGAAAAGCTATTTTTTTAAAAAAAATGACAGCAAAAATCTTGCCAGAAGTTCTTCTCTAGACTTGGCAAATGGCTGGGACTCAGGACTCTACCCCGTGGGCATAGTAATTGTGGCCGCTGTTCTCAGTGGTTATCTTTTAAGCCAATTAGAAAAAGCACCCTTCTACCAAAAACAACTCAGAGGCAGGTTCTGCTCCCATTCTCTCCGGTGGCCAGAACTTGTGCGGCGTGTAAGCCGCTTGACTGTGAGTCTCCTGATCAGTGGACATGTGGTTCGACACCAGGCACAGGTCAAAGCGACCGGGAAATCTAGGACCTATCTATCTTAGAACCAGTCAAGTCTACCGTTAAGGAAAGAAGACAGTCACCCTATACTTCCTGATACTTATACCAACGCTTCTTTTCTTTTAAGGATTTTAAAAATTCTTTGCTTGGCTTCACTCTCCCTCTCCAGACAAGTACCCTTGGTGGGGTCTTGCCACATGTGATTCCCCCTCACCTCCAGCCAGCCAGGATCACAGGTACAGCCAGGGTGTTCGGTATTCAACCTGGGCTAAACCTGTATCCAAACCTGGGCGCCCAAAACGTCCTAGTATCACCCAGTAGCACCCTGTCACCTGCACCTTTGTAGGTGGGCTGCAGCGCTGCTTTTAAACACATTTTTTATGTTAGGAATGTTTTTGAGAATCTGATAAAAACTGCAAACTCATTGTCTAGAAAGAGTAGGCACAACACTATTTTAAGTTTGCAGACCTTCTAAAGTGCTTTCACAGGCCATTGTAGCTCCAGTTAAGAGCAGCTATTTCATTTCATTTTATTATTATTATTACTATTATTATTACTATTTTAGAGAGATTTTTTGCTACAGGGTATATGCATTCACCAGAGAGAGAAAGCAAGAAATCAGCCCTCCGAGAGGATGGCCACGCCACAATCCCTTCTCCATTCTCCTCTTGGGATTTTAGATGTGCATGCACACGCACATACACCCAGCATGATTTTCAAGCTTCTGGTCAAACCATGGTAGGCCATGTGGGAGTTCAGCACCTTAAACACTGTGCCTTCTGCTGGTCCCAGAGCAGCTATTTAAATAGTTGAATTTAGTTTCATCAGATGTGGTAAGAAGCAACAGAGACTTTCTAGCCCAGAGAGCAACTCGGAAAGGCTCAACAAAGCAAACATAACTAGATGTGCTGAGTTAATAACCCACGTAGGAGATCTTAGACTCACACCAAAGAAGTTCCTACGCTGATGTTTGCATACGTCACATAGACAACGGCATTTACATCGAGCATACAAATGCTTCATTAACAAACTCAGTCTTTCCGCTGGAAATATCAGCAGTGGTTAGAAGCAAGCGAAGACTCTACATGGTAGTGCACCCTTTTTGTTTGTTACTTATTATCCAGAAATCTTTCAATGATTGTGTGAAACCAGAACACATTTTTTTGAGAGATTTTTGCTATAGGATGTGTGCATTCACTGGAGAGATAGAGAGAGACAGAGACAGAAAGCGATCCCTTCTCCACCATTCTCTTCTCTGGATTTTGGGCACACATGCACACGTGCCTGGAGTGAGTTTCAAGCCACCGGATCTGGAACTCAAACTGCATTCGACTACGTGGAAGTCCAGCAAGGTAACCATTAAGCCATCTGCTGATTCCAAGAACAAAATTTTTTTAAATAATAGATTTGAAATTCAGGTAGAAAATAATAGACTGGTTAAGGATCTGTCAGGCCATTGATTCTGTCTGTCCAGCGCATCGACTTCGACCTAAGTGGCTATATAAGTGGGTCTCATCAGAAAATCAGACCAGCCAGATCTACACTGAGGGAGTGCTCACGGGCAACTGGGCTGTGTGACAGTGGGAGCTGGCTACGCAAGTTCGAAATCCATAGGACATAGCAGGCCTGGGTAGGACTGCCCACCCCCCCCCCCCCCACCAGCGAGCGGTTAAGCAATGTCAGAAGAGACTGGCTCCCACATGGCTGACCTCAATGTGAATCTTGGCCCTGGGGACACCACACCCGGCAGGTGCACACCTGGCCAAAAACTTGTGTGGATAGAGATTAGGAGGAAAAGGGACTGCAGCATAACCAGCTCTGTCAGAGGTGCGTCCTCACTCCCTGCCTGCCCTGCTCCATGCGTGCATGTGCTCTTCATCACGTGCTCTCCATCACATGCTCTCCATCATGCATGGAAGTAAAGCTCCCTTGGGCAGCCACAGCCCTAGAGCTGCAGGGAGCCAGATGGCACATGCCGACCTTCTGTGGGAGTCCCGGTCACTGCGATTTCACCAACATGCCGAGTGAGTGTGTGAACCAGATTGCCAATACAGTGGGTACCTAGCTCCCACTTCCCTCTCCTTTCAAAATAGTCTTACGTTTTCATCCAGGGTTTTCCTCTTTCCAGGCTATATAAGAAGAAGGATCACTTCTTTGACCCCCATGGCCAGCCTTTGTGTATTCTCTAATGCACAGAAGAAAAACTCTTGAGAAAACAGAAGATGGAAAAGAATTGTTATTTGTTGTATTATTAGCCTCCTATCTAATATTCTATGTAGTTGATAATGAAATAGTTAATAAGGAATTTGAGAAACTTTTTCTTTAAAGAGATTTTTGCTTTAGGACACGTATACTTGCTGGAGAGACGAAGAGACACAGAGAGACAGAAAGCAAGAAATCGCCCCCTGGGTGGATGGCCGTGCTGCATTCCCTTCTTCATTCTCTTGGATTTTGGGCACGCACACACATGCCCTGCATGAGTTTGTTTAAGCCGCCGGGTCTGGGACTTGAATCCCGGTCGACTACATGGGAGTCCAGCGACGTAACCATTACACCATCTGCTGGTCCCAGGAGTTTGAGAAACTTAAAATGTTATTTGTGCTGTGTGAGCGGACTTCAGAAACTGTGCAAAGTAAAGCCCAAGTCTCTTGGGCCGACTTGGTGCCCTAGTGCTTAGGGGAGCCAGATCCTACATGCCTAACAGAGCAGTTTGAGTCCCAGCCCTGGCAGCTTGAAAAACACTCTGGGGGGTTGTGTGTGCATCCCCCAAATCCTGATGGATGGGTAAATGAAAGGGGCGATTGCGATGAGGTGACTATGCCCCACGGGGAGTGCTTTCTCCCTGTCCTCCTCTCTGTCTCTCTCTGGTGACATATGTGCTCTCTGACCTAAAACAAAAAAAAAGAACAAGGGTTTTTTTGGGTGCGAAACAAATCTGAAATTCACATATAGTTTTCTGTAAGTACACATTTTCCATAGATTTTGAAGATCCCTTTTACGTTCCTATCTTAAGTGGGGTATATTATTTTGTTATTACAGTATCATGTTAATCAAATATAAAGTGACTCTGTGTCTTGTTTGGTTTTTCCACTCAGAAAGGCTGGTGGTGGTGGCCGAGCACTGTGAACGAAGTTTAGAAGACTTACTTCGAGAGAGGAAACCCATGAGGTACTGTGTAACGTCAGGACAGCTGCGTGAAAAGCAGAAATTGATGGACAAAAAAGCATTTTAAGTAGAAACTGCCGCGTTTTGTTTTTTTCTGTTATTTGTTAAAGGATGCAATCCAGGTGCAAATTTTTATTTCGGGGAACTGAATTCACAGGCAGCGTAATTCTCAGAAATGCAAGGTTGACATTGTCCAGGGTTCAGCTTTTGAGAGGCATACATTCTCCAAAGTATGTAACAAACTTCCCAAAAGGGTATATGAAATTTTCAAATCTCCCTATAACAAAACCTTTTGCTAGCTGAAGTTAAGATGACTTTCCTCGAAGGGGTCCTGTGTACCCAGGAGTAGCATAGCACTGGCCTTCCCAGGGGCTCAGCGAAGGCCACAGTGAGGGGAGTGGACAAGTCGTAGTCGGGGCAGGACTCGTGATCCAGCTTGAACTCAGGTGGCTCAGTGACGCAGCAAGCTTTCTTCCTCTCTTGGCAGGAAGAGTATGTGGTCTACACTTTTATAACAAATATACTACTAAATGAGCTTCGCAGATTTTTCTGAAATTATCTTAAAATCACCCAGAGTTGTTATTTAATGTAGAAAGAAAGTTGTAGTAAGCCAAAATCAAAGAAAAGGACTTGCCATGAGCTTGCCGCAATCCTCCTTCCTCGTTAAAATGCGCTGAAATGCTAACCTGCTATTGCACTCCTTTTAAAGGATAGATTTCTTGACGGAAGAATCCATGGCAAGTCTAAGGGTGAAGATTTACTGCTGTAACTTAAAGTAAGACTAAACCGTTGTAGCACAATCTATCTCCTGATCCAGCGATTCCACTCCTAGGTATAGGGCCTCTTCAAATGTCGTACCTTCTGTACTGCCCTTTCCCACCTCAGTCCCAGCCCTGCCTGGTATTTAGTCAAGAAAACAGGAAAACACATGTCCACAAAAACATTGGCACAAGAGTGTTCCTAGAAACTTTATCCACATCAGCTCCAAACTGGGGAGGGCTCAAATGCCCATCACCAGGAGGCTGGAGAGACAGATGACATTAGCAGGAGAGAGGGATGGGCTGCTGGCCATGCACGAAGAGCCACACAGGGTCATACTTTCCTCCTTACGCGGAGTTCCAGAATAATCAGTACTCACTCTGCTGACAGAAAAGCGGTGCTTGCCTCTGGCTGGAGAAGTAGGTAATGCAGGAACTGTTCTAAAGGCCTGGAGGGAAAGGACGTTTACATCTTGGTCCAGGTGTTACTTACAAAGATGATACTTTGTCAAAACCCACTGAAACGAATACTTAAGAAGCATGTACTTCGGGACCAGCAGTTATTGTAATGGCTACAGCGCTGGACTCCCATGTAGTCGACTGCAGTTCGAGTCCTGGGCCCGGTGGCTTAAACTCACACCGGGCGTGTGTGCGTGCGTGCCCAAGATCCCAAGAGGAGAATGGAGGAGAAGGGATTGAGGTGTGGCCATTCCCCCTGGAGGGTGATTTCTCTCTTTCTGTCTCTCTGTGTCTCTCTTTCTGACGAGCCCATACGCCCTATAGCAAAAAAAAAAAAAAAATCTCTCAAAAAAAAAAAAAAAGCATTCACTTCACCTGTATTAAATCATACCTCTCAGTTTTTTAAAAAAGCTGCTGCTGCTTACTGGGCTTGAGTTCTGAATTGCTCACATAGAAACGATACTACGTTAACAGATGCTTGATCTGCTGGCTTACTGCATGCGTCTCTCAATTCCACATTCCCTTCTCTGCCATGTGCCCTTTACTGAAAAAACAGACAGGAGACATGTCCGTTTTCATCATTTTACCTCAACTCCATCCTTTTCTTTCTTTTCCTCTCAACGTTCTTTCATACTATGTAAATACACAAGTGATACTGCTTTGCCAATTAAGATCTATTAGCTCTTGAAAAGATTTTGTTTGTTTGTTTTTGAGAGAGTTGTGTTTTGTGTGTGTGTGTTTTTTTTTTTGTTTGTTTGTTTGTTTGTTTTTTGCTATAGGATGACTGCACTTGCTAGAGAGACAGAGAGTCAGAATGTGAGAAATCACCCCCTGGGAGGATGAACACACCATAATCCATTTTCCTCCGTTCTCCTCTCAGGATTTTGGGCATGCATGCACACATACCTGGCGTGAGTCTTAAGCTGCCAGATCCAGGGCTCGAATCACAATCAAATATGTGGGAGTCCAGCAACGTAGTCTGCTGGTCCCCGCTCTTGACAAGTTTTACTTTCTGTCTTCGTAACCCTTTATCCTTACTTTAGAGTTGATGAATCTCATAGCAAAGAAGGAAACTGCTCTTTTTTAAGAAGCTTTATTTATTTATCCCATAAATACGAGAAACAGAGGCAGAGATACAGTACCCTCGACGAGGTCTCTGCACGGAGACCCGTTCTCACCTTCTGCGAGCCTGGATCTTGGACACCCAGGTGCCCAGCTTACTCAGGGAGGACTCGATGCGAACTGGCCACCTTCCTCTGTGGACCTGCCTCGCAGAGTACCTTGTTCTGCTGTCGCACCACTGCCCAGCCTCGAGGAAGCCACCTTTGTTCAGTGTTTGTGTGTTCGTCAGCATGAGGATAAAGTGTTATAGATGAGAGCACTCCTTTAAGTCTAAACAGGCATAAGATTATATGCAAAATGTATACGTTTTTGCCACTTACACTTTATAATAGTCTTTTTATTATAAGTAGAACATGCAGTACCCTTTATAGGTCCTTGTAATTTCTTCAAGTGAATTGTATTTAAACATTCTTGTAAGGCTTTTTTTTTTTTTATCATTCTGGTACTAGACTAAAATTCAACATTCCCCATATGCATTTTGAAGTATAATATTCAATACTTAATTGCCTTTGAGCAGAAATGACTATGTCGGGCTCAGTTCCAAGTTGCTACTGACCCATTCATCTAAACGAGTCTTGTTGAGAACGGTTTGACTTTCCACATACTGAATTACATTAGTCTCTACTAACAGCAGGTTTCCAGTATGACGTTTAAGTGCTACAACTTTAATTAATTGTCTAAACTGTTTACAGAAAGTAGGAAGATATTCTTAAGGAATATAAATTAGTTCTTTACTGCCAAAAGTCAGCACCCTGCACCTGTAAGAAAGGGTGCTGCCAAGTAAACAGGAAACTGTGTACTTAGATGTGGTTGTAGTTTGAGACCCAGGGCTTTCAGTTGTCCGTCTGTCTCCAACTGTGACAAACCTGTAAGCTGCCAGATATCTAGTAGTCATTTGTAGTTAATTTTCTAAGCATAAACTTTCAAAATATATATCTTACTTGACTTATGTTTTGAAGAAAATTTTAAATCTTTGGTAAAATTGGTGGGACAAGAAGTAAGAAAATGAAAACTAGACTTAGAGAAGGGTCTTGTGTCAATGTACTGTATGGCATATTTAATATTGAAGTATTGATAAATAATTCTATACTAAAACATTATAACAGTAACTCACATTACTAATATAACTTAAGATCGTCTTGAAGTTCAGATCCCTTTAGAAAACCAAGCATTCTCTATATAGTTTTACTAGCTATAAAACCCCCCAGGAGAACTCATGTTCTCCAAGCAGAAAATATCGTCTGTGCTATAATGTGGAGGCGCTGTTGGGTTAGGCTTTTATAGAGTCATGCTATTTCTGCAGATAATTTGCTAAGCTGGTTTAAAGGAGAATAGTACACTTGGTTTAGGGTCCTTTCTGTCTGGAATATTAGGAACTAGTTTTGGAAAAGTGTTGCTCTCTTTCCAGTGGCTTTTATGCATTACCTGTGCCAGAGTTCAATCTTGCCAACATTTCTTTCCAGTTTCAGTTAAATGACCAAAATTATTTTTTGGAAACAAAGGCATGAAATTAAATTAAACTTCAATAGCCAGAATGTTTTAAGAATGAAGTATATTTGGGAGGTTCATTTGAAGTCATCTAATATGGAGTATCTGTGAATCTACCTAATTGCTACCCGAAAGCCAGATTCGAAAGACTAAAATGTAGACAAACTTAGATCTCAGTTCTTCTCTGAAATGTTTTTCAGAGAATATTAAAAAGAGATATACCTTCATCACCCCTGTAAGACAGGCGTGGGGAAATGTTTGCCTCTGAGTCGGACGAGTACACCTGCCTGATCTGGGAGAGTACCGGTGATGCCCCGCAGACGATGTTCCTCCTGGCTCTGACACTTGCGTTAGACTTTCTACCTGTCCTAGAATTTCCAAGTGACGGTGGGGTGGCCAATGTAGGCATGCTTCTTTAATCAAATGTAGTTTGTCACATGTCTTAGGGTTACGGTCTTGAAAATGTAGCAGGATACCGTCGGCATTGCAGAGGTTTGTACGTGGAGACTGATGGGAAGCAGACTGCGTCTGCAACAGTTTACCCGCTGATGGAAAACATGATCCGAAACACTCGGATGAATAACTTTTATTTGCCTCTGTTAAAACACTGCCTACTCACTGAATGAGGTACTCCAAAGAATTTGAGCGCAGTCTGGAATGTGGGCCAGAGTTGGATAATGAGCCACAGTGACCTGGAAATAGATAGCAGATGTTCTTATTAGAAATAGACAGCAGATGGCATAGTGGTCACATCGTTGGACTCCCACATAGTTGACTGTGGTTCAAGTTCTGGACTTGACCGCTTAAAACTCACACCGGGCGCCTATGCATGTGTGCCCAAGATCCCAAGAGGAGAATGAAGGAGGAGAAGGGATTGTGGTATGGCCATGCCCCCCAGAGGGGGTGATTTCTCGCTTTCTGTCTCTGTATTTCTTTCTGGCAAGCTCACATGCCCTATAGCGAAAAATCTCTCCTAAAAGAGAGAGAGA